CTGAGCATCCACCAAAGGCTACAACAGCTGTAGGCTTCAGCAGTGGGTGGCTATGGAAAAATGCAGATGTGTCCTGGGCCGGTCTCTGTGGGCAGTGGTGGTTGGAAAAGTAACCTCTGATCCCTTGAGGGTGCCGTGTGGAAGTTCAGCCTCCCCTCAGGCGAAACAGGTAGCCATAAGGAGGGACTGGGTGTACTAGGTGGCATCTAACTCTGATTAATCCTTATTCTGACAAGGAGGAGGTTCATGATTCTCCAAAATGAGAATGTGGTGGTTTGCATTAGGTGAGCAAATTGGCTGCTGCACAATTTGCCATACGATTGACCAAGACATTGCAGATCGAGTTGGCCAGTCAGGCACAGCCTGGTCGAGTTGGCCAGTCAGGCACAGCAAATCTAGTCAAGAGTTCTTTGGAAAACTCTGATGATACTAGTCCTTCCTCGTTTCATCTGGTAATTCAGGGAATAAACCCTGAATTTGCAGTGTTCCTTAAAAAGCCTTCTGTATGAGGCACTGACACTCATTTTCTGTAAGTCTAAAATTCGTGAAGTTTCAGATGGTGATAGCAGTTTCTTGTACTCACCTAGAGAGTGATGTTCCTGAGTGTGTCTTCATGTTTCAAGTGTCTGACCCTCCTTGATTCCCAAGTAGCTGATGCAGCGTTATTGCTCCCGTGTGCTCAATGCTGAAGGTCAGGATTTGGCATCTGATTTGCAAAGCCACTGATAAATTTTGAAGTTCTTCTGAATTAAAGACTGAAATGATTGTAAATAAACAGCTTTTTTTTTTTTTTTTTTTTTTTTTTTTTTTTCTCCCCTGACTTGTTATTTTGCTCATTCTTCATGTTTAGTGCAGATGTGACTGTCTTCTTGCCCGGAGTGAAAAGGCTTTCATAGTCTTTGCTATACACATAGAAAAATAATGCTCCAACAGGACAGTGCTAACAGGCACGGTGGCTCAGGCTGGATGGGAATAGTGCAGCTAGGCAAGAGTTTGCAAATCATTTTTAAACAAAGCTCACATGATCTTTCAAAAGTAAGAATTGGTTTAGACATTGTACAGAATTGCCAGGGTGATTCTCACTTGCAAGTAACCAAAAGTGTGTCAGCACGCTGGTAGTTTATTTAACGTATTTATTTCCTCAAAAGTTCATTTTCTTGGGTGTGGAGGGGATGTGTTCATGCCCTTAATTAATTACTTATGTGCAACTGTCTTCTGGACCGCTTTCTGATGCTCTGTGGAGTCTGGAAAACAGTCAAGGAACTAGGTGACCCACTGTTAGGCTTCAACATCAGCCACAACCAGCACACGAAGGAGCCAGCATTGGCTCTGTGCATTAAGAGGGACACGCAGGATTGTAATGGAGGCAGGGAAGAAAAGCTTTCGGTAGGCAGGGGAAGACATAATACACTGATCCTTTGCTCCTGTTGAGCTTTGCCAACTTTGTAATTAAATTAGTCAAGATTAAGAACAGATTACCTTTTCCACGACCCCAGAGGCACCTCTCCGTGGGCAACCCTCACACCTCCCTGCTCTTGCTGGCCCCTATTTCAGATGACGATCAGTCTGTCCCCTGGGCAGCAGTTTCAGCTCAGGAGGCAGAGCCCCTTCTCTCCTTTTGCCCCCTGAGCCTCTGCCTCAGTTTCCCTTCCTGAGGCCATCTGACTCCCCAGGCACCCAGCTTCCCGGCCGTCCCTGGCTCCTTTCCCTCTTTATTCCCTACGTTCAGGTTATCCCTTTATCTTCTGGCACTGCCTTAACATTTACGGTCTGTCCCTCTTTTTCCAGCCCTTTGCTTGAAAGGCTTTATCCAAGCCGTCATCCTTCAAAGATAACAAGAAAACTTCAAAAAAAGGTTCTGGTTCTTAACTCACAGTGGCATAAATCGGGAGAAAGAGCACTAAAGGCAACAAAGAGACGAACAGAGAGGAGAACCAGGTTCACAGCTTCAAACTGCTCATTTTCCCTGGTTCACACTGCCATCTCCACAGACCCAGCAAGATAGCATAGGAAATCAATATTCATTTGCTGTGTTCTGTTTCTACACTGTTAAGGTAAGACTATTCCTCCTGCTGTATGATATACACTTTTTTTCTGTAGACAGGGCAGGTATTGAAATACTTGGATGTGTTTTCAAGAATAATTGGGGCTATATAACTACACAAGGCTTGCAATATTCTTAGAGTTATTTCTGAGACTTGCTGGTCAAGGCCAAATCCTGCTTGCTTTAATTGTGAGTACAACCCCTCTGATGAGGTTGAGCAGAAAGGTAATGGCACCACTTGTATAAGGAAACTAACCAAATTTGCTTGGCAGCTGAGCTGTCAGGTAGGGTAAATGCAGATTTCTGCCTCGTAACAAAATTCATCTATTACTAGAGAAGAGGCTCATGCCTTCTTCAGGCCCTGTTTCTGAGCCACAGCCAAAAAAGTTAGTGACTTTCTAATGTTGCTTTCTAATGTCATGTTTATTATTCATAAAAAGGAGAGGTACTTCATGACTAGACATCTTTCTTAGAGGTCTGCAGCAACACATTTATTTATGTCCGAAATGTTTACATTCCGGTTATGCCTCAAGGATTGTATCTAAAATGCTTAAGCTATTTTGTTTTGTTTTGCTTTCTTTTATTTTTTTTCTTTGTTTTCCTTATTTTTTTCCTCCCTCTCTTTTATTTTTTTAATCTTCATTTTCCCCTTTTCCCCCTTTATTTCCCCCTTTCCCCCCTCCCTGAGACCAGTTTTCCACTCGCAGGAAGAACACATTCTCTCGCAGGAGCATATTTAACCCTCTCAGGAAGCGGGAAAACGCGCCCCCCTTGACCCGCGAAGATGAAGAAGCCGCTCTGCCCGTCCCCCCCCCCCCCCCCCCCGTTTCCCCCCCCCTCCAGCCGGTCCCTCCGGTGCCCGTGCAGACCCACGGCAGAACCAGCCCCGGTGGGGAGGGCGAGCGGCTGCTCTGGGGCGCCTTTCCATCTCTCCCCGGGGATGCAGATGCCGGCAGGGCGGCGTGGGACACGCCGAGGGGCCTTTCCAGCCCCCCCCCACGCAGCCCCTCGGCGGGGCGATGAGTGGGAGTGATGCTGCCCTCTCCTGGGGGGATGCGGGCAGGCTGGCCGGGCCGTCCCTGCCCCACAGCTCCCGCCCGTCCCTGCCCCACAGCTCCCGCCCGTCCCTGCCCCACAGCTCCCGCCCGTCCTTGCCCCACAGCTCCCGCCCGTCCCTGCCCCACAGCTCCCGCCCGTCCCTACCCCACCGTTCCTGCCCATCCCTGCCTGTCCTTGCCCGCCCAGCCCCCGGGCTGCCCCCGTGGGTGCAGTGCGGGACCACCCGGTCCCCTGAGCCGAGCAAACGAGGTTGTGTGGCCGCCGGCCGAGCCCGAGCGAGGGTGCGGTGTTTAGGCTGCACCTCTGCTAATGAGCTAAGTGAGGTGTGTGCGTGGGGGGGCATCCTCTGGGCCCGGAGCCACTCGGCCACACGCGTCCCGCGAAGCAGGGTCAGACTTCCAAGCGCCGTGGCCTTGCCGGACGCGGTCCCCAAACCAGCAGGCGCTGTGCCGGGGGGTATCGCCTGGCCTGGGCCGAAACCTCAGCGGGGTCCGCCCGGAGCCTGGGCAGAGGGGCTCAGGGAAGGTCCGGCACCCAAACCAGGGCCCTCACCCTGATCAATTTGCAAATACAGGCAACTTGGCGCATTTTGGACCACACTCTGTCAGTTCTCTGTGTCACACTCACGACATGGTTTTCGTTTGTTTTCATTCATCGTTTTGAAAGCCGTTTCTTCAGAGCTGAGGTATTCAGCCCTCCAAGAGCAGTCAGATGCTGGGTGCTCTTTGCCTGCCCGATGGCACCTTTACCATCACCTTTGCTGTCGTGTTTTCACCTGACAGCACAAATCCATCCCAGGCGTTTCCATGCTGCGACATTTACTGCACGACGGGCACAAGCTAACGCCGGGAGGGCCAGGTGACACGGAGCTGGTGGGGCTGGTGGGGCTGGGAGCACGGGGAGATGGGTCAAGCAGCGCTCAACACCCGGCAGCTGCCACAACCGTCACGCCACCGCCGGCCAGTGCTGCCTCTGTCACCCGTGCGCCGTGTACGCTGCCGAATCAGCCTCCAAAAACGGATGGGGCCATTCCTGTTCGGCCCTTTAATTCCCAAAGGCACCATGGCGTGGAGTTGCAGGGCTCTGCTCTGCCTCTCTGCTGCGTACCTGACCGGGGAGCTAAGAAACCCAAACTCGGTCAAAACCCCCATGGAAATGGCTGAAAAGAGCCTCAGTCAGACGGGGCAGCACGGGGTCAAGGTCCTGCCAGAAAGAGGAGCTATTAGCCCGGTGCTGCAGCCCCCCGTGAGGGGGTTACCCGCCTCCTGCGCTGGGACGAGTTTTCCTGGGGCGACTTTGGTTTTATTCAGAAGCGGCCATGGCAAAGTTTGGGGCCAGGTAGCAACAAAGTTGTCCAGTTTGAGGCAGAGCGTGGGAGATGCTTTGTCCGCAGAAAGATGTGGTTTGCTCCTCCTTCATCGACTTTTTCTCTGGTTTGGGGATTTTTCTCCAACTGTTGCTGTCTTTTCAGCATATTTCAAAGCCACCTCCCGCACGACCGGCGCTTTTAAATCCCCGTTCCCGACGAAGACGGTGTTACCCGGCCGAAATAAGCGGCCCAGGAGCAGCTCCCCCCGTGGAGCGAGCAGGATGTGTCCCGAATCAGGTACCGCCCCGCCCAGCACAGCCCCCTGCCCACACCGCGGCCTGGGGGACGCTCCAGCGCCGTGCGCGGGAAGAGGCCCCACGGCCACCCCCACGGCCACCCCCACGGCCACCCCCACGGCCACCCCCACGGCCACCCCCACGGCCACCCCCATCCTCCCCCTTTCCCGCCCTCGGGACACGCCCACCCGGAGCCCCCCGCCCCTTCCCCCGCCCCGCCCTCCCCGCCTCGACCAATGAGCGGAGGCGCCCCGCGGCGGAGGCGGGCCTTTTCCCCGGCGCGGCGCTTCCGGTTCCTCGGCGCGGCCGCCATGGCGCCGCTGGGCTGGCCGGGGCCGTTGCCGCCGCCGTTGCTGCCGCTGCTGCTCGGCCTGGCCCTCGGCCCCGCCGCCGCGGAGACGCTCCGGCTGGAGGCGCTGGGCGAAGCGGAGGAGCTGGCGGAGGAGTTGCGGTGGGGCGCGGGGCTGCCCGGCGACCTGCCCGAGCTGGAGCCCGAGTGCCGCCGCCTCCTCGCCGCCTTCGCCGAGGGCAGCGCGGCGCTGACGGGCTGCCTGGGCCGCCGCGCCCGCCCGGTGCGGCTGTGCCAGGCCTGCCACCGCCACTACCGCCGCCTCCTCGCGCAGTACGGCAGCATCGCCCGCGCCCTCGGGGTGCGTCCGGGGGGGGGTGTGTGTGTGTGTGTGTGTGTGTGGGTGTGGGTGTGTGTGGGTGTGTGTGGGTGTGTGTGTGTGGGGAGCGGCCCTTCCCGCCCCGGGGCCGGGCTGCGGGGGGGGGGGGTGTCGGGCGCTGCTTCCTGAGGGCTTCCAGCTCTCTTCCAGGGCGCAGCTGCGCCCCACGCGTGGCGGGGCGTGGGGTCCTCGGGAAGGCGGCCGGTGTCTCGCCGCGGTCCCGCGTGGAGGGGTGAGGGGAGGCGGCGTGTGTTAGGCCTGGCCGGGGTGTGACCCGCGACGCTGACAGACGGGGCGCCCGCGTTTCGGGTGGCGCGGGTTTCCAGCCCGCGAAAGGCCCGTTCCCACGCTGTGGGGGTGGGCGTTCGGCGGAGGGTGGGAGGGTTTTGGTGCCTGCCTGCTGCTGGTGCTGCCCGGTGTTGGGCCACGGGCCGTGCTACCGCCTCCCGGCGTGGTTAGGGGCGAGGAGTTCCACCCGCGGAGAGCGAAAAAAAAAAAAAAAAAAAAAAGCTTTGCTCCTCTGTGCAAGTGGAAAAACTTGAGTGGTTCTTGCTGATGTAGCGACGGTTAAAGCAGCGCTCTGGCTCTCGGGTCGTTGTATAGCGCTGCTGAGGAACAGTGCCGGGGCTGAGCTGCCCGGTGCTTCTTGGAAAACCGGTGGTCTCTGAAGGTGTGTTGAGTGATGCACATCATCTGTGGGGAGCTGTGTCACAGGGGTTTGGCTCCAGAGCTGACGGGTGTATGTGGCAGCAAACTAGAAGTTCTGAGTCTATAGAACCCACCAGTGGGAAACTTTGAAGCTGGGTCTTCTCTTTACATCCTTTAGACTCTTGATCGTTTTTTCTTTTCCCCCCGTTTCTTAGTGTTGGAGGTGGTTCATGACTAGTTTTGCGTGTTCTCATCCAGTTTATCCGTTTGTGGAAGTTAGTTCCTGGGATGATATGAGGATGGCAATAGTGGATCGGACCAAAGGGCCTCTGTCCGTTCTCTGCCGGTGGCTAGAAGTGGGTGCCCTGGTAAGAGCGCAAGCAGAGAGCGTGTTTAGAGCAGTGTGTCCCCTGGCTTGTGCTTCCAGTTTGGGGAATTTCTGAATCTCTATTTAGAATCACCGCTGACAAGAAAAATCCATTGCTCTTTAAATCCAGGTAAACTTCTGGTGCTGCAGTGTCCTGCTGCAGACCACAGCTTAGTTACCTGTCGCGTGAAGAAGTCTCGCTTTCTGGGTTTGATGCGTTGTCTGCCCCTTTTCCCGCTCCACCCCAGTGCCCGTATTGGCAAAGCCCACGGGCGTTCATTTGGCAGTTGTCCTCTCCGGGGCAAATATCTAGCCAGTGGTCTCATGTTGTAGTTTGCAAGCCCGTAGTCTTGTTTCATTTGTTTCTCATAGGGAAGCTGTTTCCTACCAGTGACTAGGTAATGTGGAAGTGAGAAATTGAGTATGTAATTCGCTTGGGTGTTTTCAGCAGGATGTTTTGGCTAGGATTAGGTTGCCAAACCTATCCCAGTCCTTAAAATATGTGTGAACTCGTTGCAGCTGCTGGGCTTGAGGACTGGTCCACTGTGTGGTCTGGAAGACACATCTGCATTGGAGGGCGTTTGGCTTTCCTTCTGTGCGTGGATTAATGAACCAAATCAATAAAGGAGGTGACCTCTTCCAATCTCAGTCCATGATCACAAGTAATCAGATATCTGATGTTTTTATCTTTGCCATCCTACAGTAGTTCTAGAATATACAATATATATGTATAACAGTTAGTTATAGTGCAACGTGAAAGAAGTAGCCAGGTTAAGTTTTGGACATTTCTGAAATGTAGAATCCTCCTTATGAGGGTAATTTAAAGAATAAATTAGGCAAACATATTTAAGGATTGATATAGGTTTACTTGATTCAGTTCTGAATTTAAAGTGCTTTTTCCCACTCAGGAGTCCAGCTGGTAAGGAAGTTTCACAGTTAAAGGCCTTCATGGAGCAACCAGAGTGTTCCCCGCATGAACAACTTTCTTGCATCTCTGTTTGTAATTTAGTAGAAATGAAAGTGAGTGAATGTAGGAGCTACCAGATGTGGCAATACTCAGCTTCTGCAGCTGAGTCTCCAAAGGGAACTTCTTATTTAAAAGGTACACCTGTTTTAACAGAGAGAGGCAGAAGCTGGATCTCTCCTAAAGCTCTGTAAGGAACATGTTTCTCACTAAAGAGATTATTTTCTTGTATGTCCCATGTCACTTATCAAAGAGGCTTTTGGCAGCTTTGGCAATTTTGAGAAGTGCTTAAGTCAGTTTAGCAGCCAGCAAACAGGAGCTAAAACACAGGAGTCAGCTGACTGGAGGTCATGGCTTTGTATCACTGATTTGAGGGAGAAAGTAAAGCTTTGAAGGAGAAAAACATTGTTCTGAATTCTGATCGGGATACTTGCTGTTTATTCTCCAGATGTGTTTATAGTTGCTCTTCATTTTTTTTTTTATGAGCTTGGTCCGGAGAATAAGCTTCTGTGTTGTGTCAGTGCCTGCTTTGGGGATGGGATGGGATGCGTCGGGTGGCTCACTAAGAGAGCTGAGCTCGGTACCTACGTGTGGGGAGGACGAGAGCCTGGCCGTGGGCCCGGGGGAGCGGCCGTGGGCGCTGCTTAGCAGGGGACTGCGCTCCTGGTATTGCTGTGCTGGGGGGGGGGGGGGGGGGGGGGGGAGTCTGCTGCTGACACACTACGTTGGTGCAGCAGTTTGGGAAGTTTTCTTCTGTCTGTGTTTGTTTTGAGGCCAGTCCGCTGGTTTAGGTCCTTCAAATATTCCTTCAGCCTGATGAGAACGACCCTGTCCTTCTTTCTGACTGCACATGCCTTGGGCTGGCTCTTGGGGCTGTGGCCCAGAAATGGATGGAGATGAGCTGCCTGGCAGAGGAGGCCCTGTCTCTGTGCTTGCTTTGCTTTTAGTTAGTTATTTTTTTCAGCTGCTTATTTTTGACTGACTTGCATGCAGTGCTGGTAGGTCTTTAGAGATCATGTGCAGTAAGCGGTGTTGCTCATAGTGTGAGTTGGAGGATCAAAACATTTTTATTGTTCCATCGATTCTGCTCTGCCTATTCTAGAAATATCAATGTGATGTGTTGTGATTGTTTAGCTGTGTTTACAAAAATTATGTTTCAGAATTTTCCATTTGTATTTTTAACACTTGATGGCTATTTTTGTCGCTTTCTTTTTCTTGTAGAATTCTTCTGAGAGCCATAATTGCGCCAAAAGCATCTTGACCTCAGACAGGCTGCAGATAGTTGTGACCCTTTCGGAGTTCTTTAACGAAACCTGGGAGGCAGCCAACTGTGCAAGTATGTGACTTGTTCTGTAGCTTTCATACTACTGTTATGACTTAGCCCCTAAAATTTGCACAGATCAAATTGTATGTAGTTGTTCAAATACAGTCAATAGAGAACACAAAAATCTTAAACTAGAGCCGCTTCAATGAAGGGTACGAGAGCTTTTTATTCTGTCAGGGATACTGGCAAAATCTGAGGGCGCTAGGCTGTTGGAAAACTTAGTTGTATAAGTATTTTAAGCTATTATTTCAAAAGATAGTCTTGCTAGTTTTCTTTGTGTTCTACAGACCTTGCTGGAGACTTTCCTTAGCTTCATTGCAGCTTCTTCTGTTTTTTTTTTCTGTCTTCCTGTTTTTTTTTAAAAAAAACCTTACGTAAGAAACTCTTCCTTGTTTGTTAATGAAGGCAGTAACTCTGGGATGCTTACACCTCGAGCAATATCTGACGCCAGAGCCATGATTTTGATTTGACTTTATGGGTGGAGGGTGTCCAAATCTATCCCTGTATCTTAACTGTTCCTGTGCTGATGGTGCTGTGCCACGCTTACGGCTAAACTACGGCTTTTGGTCATTCCCCTGGTGTGGGGAAGTGGGACCCTACACTAATAGGTGCACTAGGAAGCAGTGGGAATAGCACCGTGGAGTTGAGTGTTAATGATGCTGGGTTTGCTGCAGAGCCCCTTGGGAGCCCAGGAGGGTTTGTTTCTGGGCTGTGTGAGGGCTGGAAGGGCGGTACAGGAGGAGCTCTGTGCTGTCCTGCCCCGTGGCCAGCCGGATGCTCGCCCTCACCACTGACGGTGCTTCCTTCTTTCAGGAGATTTTTCTAGGATGTTGGCTTGCCCTCATGATGCTGTTGCTGAACCTCTGAATTCCCAAAGCGCTGTTGTTTTCGAGGGTCTGTCTGGTTAGAGCACCTGAAGTGGGGTGGTTGGAAGCAGTAACGCGGTAGGGTTGAGCCTATGACTGGGAGGGAAGCCCCAGATCTCCCCTCAAAAGTGGGTGAAGTGGTCAGCTCTTTCCTTAAACAGTAATACAATACACTCTGATTCTGCTGTTGTGTTCGTGGTCTAGCTGTTTCCTGGGTGCTCTCTGTTTCATCTCCACTGCTGGTGCTTCTGCTTTCACCTAACTGCTGTTAGTGTTGCTGGGCAAAGCCAGATTTGCAGGGTAGAAAATAAAAGTAATGTCTTGTTTTATCTTAAACTCCAAAGATAATTCAGACCCCCTCTTCAGGAAGCTCTTGATGATAGTCTTCATCTTTCACTTAATCAAGGCCAATTAATTCTGAAATATGCTCTCGATGAAGACTTAGGTCAGCAGGTCTGAGGCATCAGTGGCAGGCAGAGAAGGAAGCTGCAGTGTTGACTAGACCTGTCTTTTACTGTCGAGAGCTCTTTTTGTGGGAGTGGAGTGTCTGGGGCTTGTTGGCTATGGAAATGTTAGAAATTAGAATATTCAGATGTTTTTCTTTCTCTTTGACAGATTGTTTAAAGAACGGCAGTGAGGGATTATCAAATTCTACTGTAGAATTCCTGGATTTATTCAATAAATCTCTGACATGTTTTGAACATAACCTTCAGGTATTTATGCTTTGTATTTTAGGATAAACACTAAATCCTTTAATTGCTAGCAAAACCTTATTTATGCTGAATAAACTGAAGATGTGTATTAGGCAAATAAACTGCTGGTGAGTTTGAATTTTAGGCAGATAAAGTAATGATCTGTAAAATGCGGGTGTTTACAGATTGGGAGACTAAAATTAATACTAATTGCTACTCACCTTGACTTCATTTGGTATGTAATTGCAATGTTACTTTTGTGAATTCAGAAATTCTGATGTAGAGTTAATAATTATATAGTGAGAAGCATCATGTCTGCATGTTGCAAGTCTTTTTCTACCTCTTTGGAGAACTGTTGGCTTTTGACTTAACAATTCAATCTTTAAACAGCCTTTTGATAATATAGACTGGTTAAAAACCCCCCCAGTACCTTAAATCATTGTAACAATTCTTTTGACTAGTAAAATTATGAGTAGACGAAGTTTGTCCGTATTGCAAAGGCAATATAACTCACATAATGAAATAAATGTGGCAAATGTCCTCAAAGAAAAGGCTCTAAATAGCCTCAGAAACTGCGTATATGCCATTTTAATCAGAAACTGGCCAAGTTCTGGGATCATTTAGTGGTAAAAATGTGAAATGGTGGGTATGAGACAATCTCAGGGAACTGTCTGCTTTTTTTGTTATTAATGATTTCTAGGAAATGTCCCTTTATATATTGGCTTTGGCCAAGAAGAAGTGTGAGCTGCCCTGTTGATCAGTTCAAGTGTCTGAGCTAGAACTTAACCCGGTGGTTGGTGGGTAGCTGATACAACCGTTCCTAGTGGTGAAGGCTACAAATGGAAAGAATTACTGTGGCAAAGTCTGTCCCTGTCAGTACAGCTCAGCAGTAACAACAGTTACTTGTTAGGTGTGGGCAAATGGAAAACCAAACACAGTATTAAGGAACCTGATCTATGGCTCCAGAATAACATTTGATTACGAGTAATTTTTTTTTTTTTTTTTCTACTTCTGGGAAATGGTATTTTAAAAAAAAATAAATTAAAAATGCTGCTAGTTCAGGGAGCAGTTTGAGATGTATAATCTGGAGGAAATGGATCCTGTCCCTAGTGAATTAGTCAGTCCCTTTTCCTCCTGCATTCTCATGTGAGTTGTTTGTCTGGGCCTCTACTCAATTTGAGATGCTAGAAACGTGGGTTTTGGTTCATACCGGGCTCTAAGTTTTCAAGGTTGTTTTGTTTGTTTTTTTTTTTTTTTTTAGTAATGCTTTAAAATTCTGTATGAATGCTGTTTTATAACCCTAGGGACAAACCATCTATCTGTCACCAAATAACTACACAGAAGTATGTAAAAACTGCAACGAAACCTACAAAATGCTGAATGACCTGTATAACAACTTGCAAAGGATGAACAGGCAAGGTGGTGAGTCTGGGCACTCCGCGCACCTGTGTATCGACGTGGAAGATGCAGTAAGTGTTTGTTAGCATTCAACAGGGAGAGCTTGTCATGGGAGGCTTTTAATGGGAGCTATTTGCACTCGTTTTTCTCAGGGTTGCCTTTTCCCTTTCCACGGGGGGGCAGTGCCTTTGGCAGGCTGGTGTCCCGTGGGGGGAGGTTAGCTCGGTGGGGCTGTCTCACTCGGTCCTGTCCTCAGTCCGTGCAGCAGGAGCGCGCCTGAAGCTCCTGATCACCCAAGTCCATTCCAGTTTGAGTAGCTGCACTTTGATTTCTTGTTGCTGCGAAGGGGATGAATTAAAAAAAAAAAAAAAAAAAAAAAAAAAATCTGGCTCTTAATGTGAAGCTTTGCTTCTATTGTTCTAGCCAGCGTAATAACTGATTCCTTACTACAGCAACTGTTTCTAGGGGTGCTCAGCATTGGTGACATAGGTTTGGAAAAAGCTTTCTGACACTGGGGGGTTTTAAGTGGTTGGGCAAGAGGAGCCCTGTTGAAAGGGTGGGGTTAGCCCTGTCCCTGCAGGCTGTCAGAGAGTTCTCTGGGAAGCGGGCATGTGGCAACGTCTACAGTGTATCTGAGTGTGCTTTTGAAGCTTGTAAAAAATTTCGATGTGAAATCTTGGCTCCATTTAAATGGTCTGTTTCTACATCTTCAGGGGTTTGCTTGCTTTTGGGCGGGGGGTAGATCTGCTCAGGTTGTTTTCTGAGGCCGTGTTTGAACACTTGGATGCCTTGAGGCCTGAGCGTTCGCCGTGCTGCACAGCAAAACCAAACGGCGCGTGCTCACTTTCAGGGCTTGCTTATGTTTCTCTTTTTAGATGAACATCACTCGGAAGCTTTGGAGCAGGACTTTCAACTGCTCTGTTCCCTGCAGCGATACCGTCCCAGTGATTGCAGTTTCGTCCTTTATTCTCTTCCTACCTATTGTTTTTTATCTTAGTAGCTTCCTTCACTCGAAGCAGAAGAAACGGATACTCATTCTGCGTAAGTGGTGGTGCTGGCGTTTCACTGTTAGAGTTGGGTGGTGCCAGGGACTCGCTTGGCTCCCGTGGGAGGGGGGGCCCAGCCAGATCTGCCTGCAGCTGTGCTGACGGCGCTAATAGCGACTATTAGTCTGCTGCTGTCCCCTCAAGAAGGGTAGTACAGAGCTTCAGCCATATCTTTTCATTAAAGTTTCTGGACGTGAACGGAAAGCTGTTTGCAAGTCTGTGTCAGATAAATAGAGGGAGTGGAGAGACTAGTTTTGTGGAATTCTTTGTGTTTAATTTTCATATAATTTTTCCCTTTCTAGCCAAGCGCATCCAGTCAAATGCCAGTCTTGTGAACATCCAAGAAAAATACAGCTGAGCTGCAAAACAAAACCTGAGAGCTGCTGCTGGTATACAGTGGGTACAATTGTGTTGGAATGAGGCCGGCACAAAAGAGGAGTTAATTATGGTTTAGTGTAATGATACAGAGCAACACAAGTTAAACAAAATGCTGTCTGACTTCTAAGCGAGGATATTAACAAACATGACAAGGCAGGGCTGTGTGACACTGTATGGACTCTGGGTTTGAAAAATCTTTGGGGTTTTTTTCAGCCTCGGGCTAATGTTGGTGTTTTCCTGTTTCTAAGCTTTTGTACTTCTCATCAATAGAATAACTACACTTTTCTTGCATGGTATTTTTACATATTTATCGCATTTGTTTCAAGGAAACCTGAGATTCTGAATCTTTTTGAGGTGACTTTCACAGACAGACGAAGCTTGAAATAATACTTGACGTTTGTGCTTGAAACATCATGTTTAATTTCCACATAATATTCAGTCTTATCAGACTTGGGATGGACAGGAAACCTTTCAAAAAGAAAAAGTTCCCATCTTTCCTATACCACTCCAAAGTCATGGTATCTGTTAAAAAAAAAAAAAAAAAAGCAAAGGGCATAAAATATGCAGAGAAAGCAGTAATATATAATGTCCAAAGCCGGTAACAGAACTGCCAGTGCCGGACTTGAACAGTAATCGCTGATGACTCCAGTATTCAGTTATCTCTGAAACAGGCGGTGTCTTTAGTCATTTGCACATTTTAACCACTAAAATCACTGCTTTTCAGAAGTTACATTTTCAGAAGCTTATTTTAGATGTCTGCTTGAGTAGCTGAATGTTTCACTGTTTGTCTGTTTATTGTGTTATTTGCTTTCCTTTATAATTATAAATGATTTTTTTTTTTTTTTAATTGTTTTTGTGGAGAAGTGAGGTAAAGTCAAGTCACTGGAGGTGCTGGATTTCCTGGTCTAGAGCTTGCTATGGCTTAATACAGAGGAACTTTGTAGGGGAAAAGTTACCTTTTGTAGATAACATGTATTTTTAGAGATAAATGAACCAGCAGGTTCTCTAATTTAAAAACTGTCCAGAAAGACAGTGAAGATACTGTGTTTGGAATTGATGACTTTCAAGGAATAGTTTAAAAAAAATTAGGCCTGTGAGATAGGTGAATGTAAACAAATTCAAGCTGGCAGGGTTCCAAAGCTGATGGAGAAATTAATGCAGTAGCTGTGGGGATGGATGGTGCTACTGACAGGCTGCGGGCACAGTTCAGCGGCTGCAGCAATACCGGCAGTTCCGTTTGGTTATGCTGGTCCTGCTTTGGGAGAGCCCTGGGGGTCACACGGTGTGCAGCGGTACTGGAGGTTAATGAATGCCAGAGTCTTTGCTTCCATTTTTAAATTTGTTTTCTAACCTTGCGGTGAAAATGAGTGGCCATTAACAGTTAAAAAATGAAATTTCTCTTGGAGTCTTTGTGTCTGATGTCTGTCAAAAAACTCCACGAAACAGTCTTATGTGTTTGACTTGCTTTGGAGCCTATGATGTTAAATTTTCCTTTCCATTAAGGCTCAAATAAATATATAACAATGTAACAAAACAGTCCTAAAGCTCTTCAAGTCGTTGGTTCTTTTTTTTTTTTTTGAGTTAGGACATACTGTTGGTTCTAAAGTCAAGCTGACAGTATGTTTAAGTAAAATACTGTGTTAGCAATTGGTCCCACCCACATGATTGCCTTTTTGTATTTTATCAGTAAGAAGTATTCATCTCCCTCTGTTAAACATGTGAATCACTAGGTCAACAGTCAGTTTATTCTAGGTAGTTTACAACAATAACATAAAACTGTATTTCTCCTGCTTATTACATAAAGATACCATCTTGCGGCTGGGAGAGGCGTGCTGCCTTTTTTTTAAAAAAAAAAAAGATTATTTTTTATATTTATTCTTCAACTTTCTGGGACTTATTCAGCTGCCTGCTGTAATAGCATTACATTGATCTGGGACATCATATGATGGAGAGCTGTTCAAAGCAATCTTTCATTCGTGCAGATAAAGCCGGTTTGTACGCGCAGCACTTCAGAATGACAGCTTTTATACTGTAAGCAGTGGCTTTTTGAGCACATTCATATTAAGTAGGTCTGAAAGTCATTACTTTTGGATATGGTGGTTAAGCACTTTAAGAAAAAAAAAAAAAAAATCAGCTTTTCTTATTTTCCTGGCTGCTAAGCCAAACGGAAATACACATTTGACTTTTGTTGGTTTTTATTTTAAAACAGCAGTAAAGTTTACACTTGAGATTTTGAATATTACATCTATATTTTCTCTTTTTTTTTTTTTTTTTTTCCCCACCAAACTTTGTACTACTAACTTTCTTTACACAGTGTTATATTTTTGGTAGGATGTTTCATATATAAATTTATTGAATTCTCTTTATACTCTATTTCCTAGTGAAATGTGGAAGCACATAGACTGTTGAAGGAGAACTGGAATTCTTTTTGCTGCTAGTCTTTCATCTTGGTTTATCTTTTGCCTTTTTGGTGAACTTTGAGATACTAGCCGTTTGTATCTTTTTGTGCGGATAAAGATTTCTTACCGTGGGGTAGCACTTTGAATCATGTTTATACTTACAAGGAAACCTCTAACGCGGAAAGTCAGCTCTAATAAAGGTTGTCAGTGAACAGCGAACAGTGTGGTTCCTTAATTGCTTCATTTAGAGTAGTTTCATACTCCTGCTGTGTCTGAGTTTGTGTTCAGAAGCACCTGCTTATTTGTCCTCATTATGCCATTTGCAGGAAAACGGCATCAGAAAGATGTTTTCAAAGCGGCGCCGTGCGGAATTGCAGCAAAACCGATGGGCAGCAGCACCTGGGGAGGGGTGGGGGCTGCAGCCCGCCCGCCGTCTGCTGAAACACGTGCAAAGGCTCCGGTTTGGTGCCAGCGGAGTTCCCCGGGTGGCCGTGGGCGAGTGGGGCTGGGGGGGAGTAACTTGCCGTGTTTGTGGGCAGGCTCTTGGCTGCCTGCACCGGCCGCTCCTTCAGCTTCAGCAGGCCGGGTGTTGGGTTTGCTGTCGAGCTGGAAGGGTCCTTTTAAAAAATGTCAGCGCCGTGCCTCCCCGGCGGGCCCCAGCCCCGTGTGCTGGCGGCAGGGTGCCGCTGTCTCGAAGGCGAGTTGTCCTTAAATATTCTTGTATTCTTAAATACGTGATTCGCAGAGGCGAGGGGTGGAATGTCCTGGGTTGAGTGAGTGGTGGAGTTTTTTGGTGGCAGGGGAGGGGGCTATCGGGGCGGCCCCCTGTGAGAAGCTTCTCGAAGCTCCCCCAGCTCCACGTCAGCTCCACTTCTGTTTGGGAAATTGAGCCAATCGGCTGCGCCTCTGCGATAACGTATTTAAGAAGGGACGTGGTGACGGGCAGGGGGACTTGTGAGGAGGAGTTACGGCAGCTGCATGAACACCAAGGTCAGTGGAGGAACGGAGGAAGAAAGGAGGGGGGAGGTGTGCCGGAGCAGAGACCCCCCTGTATCCTGTGGGGAGACGGCAGGGCGGCCCCCCCCTGCCACCCATGGAGATCTACGGTGGAGCAGACATTGATTTGTGGCCTGTTGTTCCTGCTCAGATGATCAAGGTTCTGTGCCCGAAGAAGGCCGGGGTCTCATGGGAAAAGGCAGCCCCGCTGCTGTAATTCAGTGCTGGGAGGATTGCAGCATGCGGGGGAGTCCCACGCCGGAGCAGCTCGGGAAGGGCTGCAGCCGTGGGAGGGAATCCAGTCGGAGGGAGTTAGTGACCCATGACGGAGCAGTGTGGGGAACGCTGCGGCCCGTGGGAGGGACTCATGTCGGAGAAAGTTTGTGGAGGACTGTCTGCTGTGAGAGGGGGACCACGATGGAGCAGGAGGAACAAGTTTCGGACACTCCTCTCACCGAAGATGAAGTAAGTGGCAGCGCTGACTGCACCCCCCATTCCCTGCCCCTGCGCCACTGGGGGAGGAGGTAGAGATATCGGGAGCAGAGCTGAGCCCGGGAGGAAGGGAGGGGTGGGGGGAAGGTGTTCTCAAGATGTGGCAATGCTTCTCACTGTCCTACTCTGTTATGTGTTGTTAGTGTCTGTAATAAATGTATGTTCTTTTTTTTTCTTCCCCTAACAAGTCTGCCTTTTGCTCATGATCATAAAAGGGGGATTTTCCCCCATCCCAGTCCTATCTCAGACCCCAAACCTGGCTCTCTGTCCCTTCTCATTGCCGGAGGGGAAGGGAGAGAGAGCTGCTGCATTGGGGTTGGCTGCCAACCAGGCCCAAACCACGACAACTGGCAAATGTGATCGTGCGGGAGCGCCCGCGAGCGCACACGCTTCCCCGGAGGCGCGTGGGCTGAGACGCACCTTCGTACCTCGCACAAGTTAGAGGTAAGGGAAGAGAGTTGTGGGGTTTTTTTTTGTTTGTTTGTTTTGTAGGGAGATTCTGTTATTTTCAGAAGAAAAAGCTGCATTTTTCTCCCAGATAAAACAACTTCCCCACCCCTGTTTCCCACTGAAACCTCGCTCGGATGCGCTGGCGCATGGGGCGGGAGCTTGCTTACTGCAAGTGTCATCCGTGTTTTATTCTCTGGTAAAATATAGCTCTGACAGGAGCCTGCTGCTTGCAGGGGAAGCTGGGTTTGGGCTTTTTCGCTTCTGTGCATCATCCTTGCAAACGGGACTGGGCAGAATAGGGCCGGGCGAGCAGCAGGACAGCAGGGACACTGTTGCAACGTTTTGCAGTGTCAGAGACACAAAGTTGTGTTGAGTAAACTGCTATTTTTTATTTATTTATTTATTTTAAAAAAATGAGTTGTGGTGGAAACAAGTTAATTAGTTAAATGAACTCTGGAATCTTCCCCTGCTCCCATCTCTGTTGAAAATATTGGAGAGCTATTTCAAATGTTTAATAAAAGAGATACTCGCAGGTAGCTTGGTTGAAGTTTTCACTTTTAATACTGAAAATTCCCCTCTGGCGCCAGCACAGCAAGTATCATGGATTGCTGCAATTAAACCAGTGCCTTAAGTTATTCATAATACTCTTTCTGGGCAGCATTCCCACCTGCTTAATCTGTGCTATACAAGCGTTTATTAGAACTGACTGTTGAAAAACGCCAAGCTAAATCAGACACTAAAAAAAAAAAAAAAATTAAAGAAAATCAATACGATGCCCTAAACTGGTTTAATATGTCTTTCCTCTTCGATAATCCTACACGTTACTGATTTATTTGCTGTAATGAACATGCCATTCAGCCGAAACAAGATTAGCTGCTTAAACCACAGCATTAAGCACGGAGCAACTTTAATGCTGCTTTATGTTTCATTGTAATGCTCAGCACTTACAGTGGTGTCTCTTTCTCTCCTCTGCAATAAAGAGTTTGTGTGAGGATCACAAAGGGCTCCGGAGTGGTGTTTTGTTAAGGCATTCGAAGCAGTAAATTTGAGTCGGTCCTTCATCCAAACCTAAGTGGAACCAAACTGGTGAGCAGGATTAATGCATGAATTTATATTCCCTGCAGGATTTTTCCGGGGTTAACTGTGAAGTAAATGGCTTATGTCAAACTGATCTAGGTTAAGGCAGAGAGAACAGCCACTGGCAATCAGAATATTCCTTCGGACTTAATTCAAATTTTGTTTTCAAGCATTTGGAACAGGAGCAATTTACTGTGCTTCAGAAAAAGCAGGCTGCAAGGAGCAGGCGTCTTGGTTTTGCAAGGAAGAGTCCTAAGATAGATGTGGTAAAGGCTGAAGATTTTCAAAGGAGTCTGTAGAAGGGGTCAGGGAAATGTGAGTGATATAGGTGTTTTACGCCTGTCAGGTATTGTATAACGTAGAATAGAAAGTCTGTTCTATTGCGTAACACTGTCCAGGTCTGAGAAGTTTAAGCTCTCCAGTTTCCGGGTAAATCTGTGTGGTGTTCTCTTCCCACTACAGGGGCAAACCTCAACTGGGAGTCTCTAAAGTCAGTGGGTGTTGGTTACTGTCTTGTTCTTTCCCTCTGTCACAAAAAGATAGTTTAGATAATTCCCTTCTCTTCTTGTTGATTAAGAAGCGAGTTGTATTTATTAGGGCATCCATATATTCTCCATAGATCTAAAAATGGGAATGAATTTTCTGTTTGCTGTACAATGTTATAATTCTTTTTCTTCGGAAGACCGTGGTGCGTTGCCAATGTGTGTATTTCAACAGCTTTTTAGGCTCTTGGAGTCAAACTTGGTATACTAAAACCAGATAAATGAGCTTCAAAGTATTGCAGAAGCGTGCTGAGTTCACAAGAATTACTCAAACCTGTAGAAATGAGAAAAAAGTGTCAGAGGTGGTGTGTTTGCACTGTGCTGGAGTAAGGTCTCAAATTGAGGTTGTGGTTCTGACTCTGGGAAGTGCGTGTTTCTTCTGGTGAATGCTGCTTTTATCCAGGTGATCAGAACAGAAAATCTGAAGTCATTTGGCAAAGGGAGAGTTGAGGGATTGAAGGAAGCTATTTCTGCAGAAGGAAATGCACTCGAAGTCTGTTAGGAGGAGCAGCCTTTGCATTGCTCCATTGGGGAAGGGGGGGAAAACCAAAACAAAACAAAACAAAACAAAAAAACCAAACCAAAAAAAAACCAAACCAAAAAACCTGAAGATGCTTTCAGAACATCTGCCAGAAGGGTGAGTGCTGGGATACAAAGAGAGGGCTGGTGAGTGTTGGCAGAGATACTAATTTGCCACTGATATGACACTTCTTCATGGCAAACCAGAATCTCAGGGTGGACGGGATGGAGCGTCCTGGGAGGAGCGTGCATGCTTCAAGGGGAGAACAATGTCCTCAGCAGCTGGTTTAAAGTTGGTCAGGAGATGAACAGTAACAGTCACGTTACTTCTATGAAACATGCACGTGATATCCTTTTTTTTTTCTCCATTAGCAGGAGCCCCCCTCAGCACCGTTTGCTGCTGTTGTCCAGACTGCACAGGTCTAAAGGATGTTTGTGTATAGCCCCTGGGCTCTGATGGCTCTGCATTATAGCAGGCTGTGTCTCTAGTGCAGAATATGCCTTTTTTTTTTTTTTTTTTTGTCTGTTGCACAGATAAGCAGCATGTAAGGAGCTGCCTTTATTGCAGCCACTCACAGGAGTTACTTTAGGTCCACACGTAAGCTCCCACGCTCATATTTTATTTAAAGACCAAGTGATTTGTGTGGTCTCCTAAGTCCTGGCGATGGAAGCACTTGGACTGACCTGTTTGCCCAAGCGAGCGTCAGGAGAAGGGATGGTGAGAAGGAAGGAATGAGGCAGCAACAGCGAAACCGCGCAAGAGAAAGCAGGATTGAATAGTCCTGGGAAAGCCTCTGCCCTGCCTTAGCTTGTGTAACGGGGGCTTATACAACACGTAACCCAATCTGACCCTGACCCTGCCAGAGCTCAGGGACTATATTTTTACTAAGATTAAGCTTTTCTTTTCTTTCTTTTTCCTGGAACAATTTCCTTGGCTTTTAGCTTGCCTGTTGGCCGGCGTGGCCAAGGCAACCTCGCCTCTTTATTTCTGTGATGTTTATCTGGCTGCACTCTGCAGAAGGCAGGCACCCAGCTTCCCCCGTGGAGTCCCACAGCAGCATCTCACCAGGGAAAAGGACACTGACAGTGTCTGTTCTCTGCTGGTAACAGCACTCTTGGGGGAAGGAATGAAAAACGTAGTAA